TGTAGATAGAGGGGCATGAGTGGAGAAGTGGGCTGGGAATCTGGGCCCATGTTGCTTTTGTTGCCGTTAACTGGGTGTGTGACCTTGGACAAGTCAGAGAGCCTTAGCCCAAATTCTTTAGCTGTTCAGTGAATGCATTGTCCTAGGTAACCCTTAGATCTTTTTCAGCTCCTAAATCATGATTCTATACTTTCAGGTTGAGAATGGGCAGACCATTGGAAGACTGTACAGAATTTATTTTGATACTGCTGATTTATTATTTTCATTTAGGCTGGGAGGTAATTTAAAACATTCTACCATATTAGAAAAAAATGAAAAGCTCTAACTATGTTCTCTTATACAAGAATTTCAGTCATTACAGTTTATGGGTTTACCATTTGCTTCTCATTTCTAATTTACATAACATCTTTTCTCTCACTCTCCTTATTCTATTTTCTTTCATTTCTGTTGTATTTCTTATAACTTTTTCCAAATATACCTGCTTTTCTTATGATAGGCATGTCTATATGTTGAGAAAGGTCGTTGATTAGGTTACCACTTCATGTAAAATTTTCTTCAGGTACTTGGCATCCGGGGTTGCTAGAAAATTCCAGTTCTCTAGATACTCCAACCCTATAAATACACACACACTCAGTCTGCATACTTTTTTAGAGGTAGTCATTCAAATTAAAGGCCGCCATTCAATCACCCCATTGTTCTAAGCTGATGAATTTTACCTTCTTTGGGCCAGAATTGTCTTATCTAAAACCGTTTGCTTTTTTGTTTGTTTAATTGGTTCTCTTTATCAGTTTTCCTATTGAGTGTAATGAGTTGGTGGCCTAGTAGCTTCTAAAGGGTAGTGATGACTTTTTTTTAATATTGTTATGAATTAATGGGTTTTTAGACCTTGTGTTTAAAACCCTTTTGAGAGAAACTTAAATTTGTATTCAATCGGGGATTAAGAACGCAGCTGTGAGAAGTATTAAAAACTGATTTTGACTATAATATGTACTTATACTGGAAATCTTTTATAACAAACACACATTAACCTCTTGAATTAGTTATAGTAGCCAGTAACGTGGCTGAGGGTTTTGTGTTTACAGCCAGTAAGTTCATTTTGTTTGGAGCAGGGGCATGATGGAGCTTGGTGCCAGGCAGAGTACTGGCTAGCCTTGAAGCAACTGGGTTTATCAGACCGTCAAATAGTTAGGCCCGGGAATAGAATAATACTTTTGTTGATAATGGGTTCTGGTGTTCTTTGTTGGTGTCTGGCAAATAGCTGTGGTAAAGAAGACTCCCAGGGAGTGTGAAAATGAGAATGATTAGCTACCTGGCACGCACCTGTTACACATTTTTTTTTTTTTTGTTAAAGATTTTATTGGGGAATTGAGGGAGGGGAACAGCGCTGGGGATTCGGGGGAAGGGGAACAGACAAGTTGCTGTCCTTTGGTTCTTCAGTCTAGTTGTGGAGGACGTCGCTTCACTGGCCTATGTTGGTACCATCATTGCGCTCTTCCCGTGTGAGGCAGATTGGTCGTTGGCCTCTGGACGGCCGCTCACGGCAGTTCTTGGCAGCTCACACCAGCTGCCGGCTGCTCATGCTGACTGACAGCCACACATGGTAGCTTATGGCAGCCCACCGCAGCAGGGACGGCAGCCTATGCCGTCACCGGCGACTCATGGCAGCCCAGCTCCAGGTTGAGCTGTTGTTCACCATCTTAGCTGTAGAGGGCAGTGTCACTGGTCCTCATGTGGGATCCGAATCGGGGCCCTGCTGCTTAGAGCTGGCATCCCAGGCCAGCTCTTAACCAACGCTCCACCGGCGGGCCTTGTTACACATCTCTTGTGCTATACTTAGACTATAATGAATCTAATGTTTATTGAGTAAAATTTATGTGCCAGGCATTCTGCACATGCATTCTGCATCTCATCTTCAAAACAACTCTAGATTTTGGTGTTATTTATTATACCCATTTTATAGAATGAGCAAACTGTGGCTCATACCTATTTTGCAAAAAGAGGAGGCTGACACTAAGTAAAATTACTTGTCCAAGGTCACAGTGCAGAAAGCTCATACCTTAGTGGTCTGACTCCGGAGCCTGTGCTCTTGTTTTGTTTTACTATTTCACCTTAAATCTGAAGCTTATTTGGGTGATAAATAGTTAGGAACCTTCTTGCTGAGACACTCTTCTGGCGCATCTTGAAGAGTAAGAATATGGTCCTGGCCCAGTTGAAAGATAGTGAGAGCCAGGGAGGGAAGTTTCTATAATTTGGTAGATGCCCAACTAGATGACCTCTCAAAACTGCAAATGAGTTAACTGTTTATGTCTTTGTGTTGAGTGAAAAATTTTCACTTATCTTTTTTTCTTGTTATTTTTAAAGACGAAGTGACACTTTTAAATGAAATATGTTTGAAAACTATTAAGACGGCACAATATTCCTGCTTATAACATATGTAGCTAATAAAACCTTATAATTCGTTAGAGTAAAGCAGAGGCTTTTTTTTTCTCCTCAATCTGAGTAGCCATGGTTTTCCACACTAGAGCAATTTTGAGGAATAAAATGACAAGTTCAGTTCTGGACATGTTTTAGAATCACTGACTTTGAGGGGCATTGAGGGTGGACTTGTCTAATAGTCTAGAGAGTGGATTTGGAGATCAGGAACTGAACTAGAGATGGGGATTTGTTGTTCTGAGTTGATGTATGTATTTACTTAGAAATCTGTGTTCTAAACTATGGCAGCATAACAGATTTGGGGAGGTTTGGGGGCCAGGCTGTATGTACTCACGGACAGAGTCCTGATTTAGGAGGTGGATGCTAGTTGTAGTTCTGTTGTGCTTGCAGACTGTGAGACCTTGGACACAGAGACTCATTTTACTCATGAAACTGAACTTGCTATAGCTGTCAGTCTTATCTGTCACTGAAAAATTCTAATACACGGGGCTGTGTTATTTAAGTATTTCTGATATGTATAGGTGGTAGACCTCTGGGTACAGAATCAGAAAATTTCTTCCCAGGAACCACCTTGGTGCCATAGGTTGTATAACTACTCAGAGAAGAGGAAGCGCAAAAAGGGGAAAGAGTGAAACGAGACAGAGGGTCAAAGGCCTATTTAAGCCAATAACATAATTCAAGGGCTTTTCTTTACTGACACATTTTCAGTGAGGAACTGCTATGTAGACATGAACAAAAGCTACCCACCCGAGTAAAGGGGTCTCTTGCAGTGGCCACAAATAGCTCAGTGAAACGGGTAGTCATTTCAGTTTGGGTTTACTGCTGCTCGTTGTTAGCGTGTAGTGTGAGGTCTGAGTATGTTGATTGCCTCTCCTTGTTTTTGAGATTTAAAAAAAACATTTATTAAAGCGTAATAACAATGTGGAAGTGTTAGTAAGAAAAGGTCCGTGATTGCTGTGGAAAAGAAAGTGAAAGTTAACTTTCCATAGATGTGTTCACATTGGTCATCGGTACAGTGTCACTTTGTATTTGCCAACAAATGGATTTTGAAATAGGTTTTTGGAATTTACTCTTTTACAGAGAAACTTTTGTATCAGGAGACATCCCTTAATTCTGGTTGTACTTTCTTACTGTGGTTTTTCAAGTTCAGGATAATGGCTTCCTCATGATCAAAGGTACTAAAATCAGAGCATTTGAGATGTTGCCCCCTGGCATATGTCATCAGTTTGGCTCAAATAAATTCTTATAAAAATTCTCTCTAAAAAAAAAGTACCAGTCATTCTTTATAAAGAATATATGTAGAAATAGCTTGAATAGCTAATGACAGGTTTTAAAAACAGTATCTGCCATTAATATAATTCTTATTATTACTGTGAGCACACGGATTTGGTAGGTATAAAGAAATTTGAGACAATGGTACTTACCCAGAGAGGCTTTGCTCTAATTATCTCTGTGCTTGGCACATTGCTTTGCAGCTAAAAGCCGCTCAAACATTTCCCCAGTTGTATTAGGAGGACATAGTTTTCAGATGAGAGACTGTGTACCGTGAGTGTGAACTTTTTGGTATGGTCCATACGTGCTGTATTTTTGAAGGTCCCTATAGGTCGAGGCAGAGTGGTTGGGAATGGTATTTGAGTTGAGCATTGAAGAATGGAGAAGGTGTGCATGGCTGCTCAGAGGAGGGAGAGGTATTCCTGGAGTGGGAATAGTAGGAGTTGAGAAAGGAGGCAAGACATGATGTAGTATGTGTGCAGGACAAGAGGAAGGCAAGCCTAGTGTAGAATAATTGGGTTGGGTGATAATTTAAAGGAAAAGATTGTAAGTAACATTTGTCCAAGGTCATATGTATGTCTTATTTTATATGTCTGTCTATGATCAATTTAGGTCAAAGTACTTTTTTTCCCCCCTCCAGATATGGTACATTGCTCAAAAACTACCCAAATGTGCTAAAAAAATATCCACCGTTGGAGTTAACTCATTGTTAGAAGGGGTGGGGTGGGTGGATGAGTGCGGGGAAACTGCTGGGTTAGAATTCAGTGGGTAGAAATATCACTTGTACTGTATTGTTAGTCATCCACGATGACCCCTAGAGTCCAGAATATATAGGGAATTCATTGGCTTTCCTGAAATAGAAAAGCAAGTATATGACTCGGCTGCACACACGCGCTGGGTTTAACTTTCCAGGGAAACGCACTCACCAGCCCAGCTTCACTCCTGAACTTGTCTCTTTAAAATTAAATTGTAGATGCTGTTTAATGTGGTTATTTTATAGCTGTCTTTTCATTCACATTTATGTGACGCAATATTTAATAATATTAAGATAAACTTTTAAATTAAATTTTTCCTTTTCCTTTTGTTAGTAGTGGCAGGGTTTTGTTTGTTTGTTTGTTTGTTTTGTTTTTAATAGGCATACATCTTTTGGGAGTACTTTTTAAGCATTGCTCCCTCCACTGTGAAATTGTTTTCACTCTGAAGTTGCGCTTCTGTTTTTCTACTATTGTAAAGTGCAGTTCTTTGCATGTTCTAATTTGCCATGACGTGGTCAAGTGCTGTTTCCTTCCTGTTGCTTGCAGGCCTGTGCTAGAGATAAGGATACATTTCAGTGCATTAAAAACGAAGCCACTGAAGACAGGGTTAAGCACGGTAAAGCCTTCTGCTTATCACAAATCTTTTTAAAGAGGAGAAAGAGTAGGCTTTAATTTCTGCTTATTTTTAAAAGCTCTTAAAATAATACTTACTAAACTTTAACTGTTTTAGACAGATTTTAAATCCTTATGTATATTAGGCCTAACCAGGGATACTGCCTGAATGTTTGTACTGAGGCAAAAATACACTACGAAATTTCTCATGGAGTAGCATTTCCTATGTATGTGGTTTGCTGGGTTAGTGGAAAGAAGAAAATTGTTCTTATGTCCTTCATTGCAACTGTAAACCTAGTTATTGCTGGGTGGATATATGTATATTTTTTAATATTTGGTACTTGAACAGTGTTTTAGGGTACTTTAACTGGGGGGAGGGGAGAATGGCTTCATTTTCGGTAATGAGAGGTGATTTTATCTTAGCCGGAATGAAATCTTCCAAGAAAATATATAACTTAAAAAAAAAAAAGTCTATGTTCATTAGCCATGTTGATTTTGTTTAAAAACATTAACAAAAAAAAATATTTTGGAGACAGTGCCCTTGGCATCAATTGTTATATTCTAAATGGGTATGATTGCTTTTTCGTAACTAAAGCTTTTGTTTTTCAGGCCAAGAAGTTGTAGAGAAGAAAAATTTCAGAAAAATTGCCTCAGTTTGAACAGGATATTGGTGAACCAAGAAAATTTGAAGCACCTTCCCTAAAGGAAACCTGGGTACACAGTAACTTCACAGACTTGGCTAAGGGATTTTCACCTGGCTTGTCACTGGATTCTCCTGCCGGATCCTTGAACCCGTTTGGAGGTTTTCTCATGTGGATCTAAGGGGAACGCTTTATTATGGCTGCTGTTGTCCAACAGAACGACCTGGTATTTGAATTTGCTAGTAACGTCATGGAGGATGAACAACAGGTATGAGACCCAGAAAAAACTGGATTTTAATAACTTTATTACTAGATTTCTCTATTTGTGTCAGAAATTATTTACTTGAAAGACAGTGGGAGAAACTTGATTAATATAAAAATTTAGATATTAAAAATGTGGACGTAATTGTAATCTTATGTTTTAAGTACTTGTTAATTTGTTAAGAAAGAATCTTATCCTTAGCTTTGATGTGGTAACAAGGAAGTAATACTTTTGGGGTGGGGGTTAAGCTTGTTTTTCTGTAAAATGAGACTTAAATACCTTAAATAATTATTTCAAAGTACTTTGAAAAGTTCTAGAGGACATACTAACAAGACAGTTTTTTTTATTTTTTATATTGTATATGATGGGTGATTGTAATAGTTGCTTGAAGTAATACCGTTTTAAGGATGCGGCTAATTAATATTTATAATCCTGGGCTATTTTTTCAAGCAGATAAAAAGATGTTAGTAGTCCCATAGTCATGCATCATTTCAGTCCAAAGCATGTGACTCTGAGGAAGTTACTTTACTTCTCTAGATCTAGGTTTCATCATCTTTTGAATGAGGGGATTGAACTGAAGAATTTCTAAATTGGCTTTCATTGAATGAATCCGAGATGTGCACATTACTGTTTCTAGAATGTCAGAAAGATCCAAGAAATACTGAGAAAAGGATCTAAATTAATTCCAGCCCCACCCTTTTTTGGGTGGGGGGAGGGCTAGAGGTTCTTGGGACTTTATAATTTACTTCATTTTTAAACAGGTTATATGGGCACGTAAGACATGATGCAGGAGAAATGGTGTAAATGTTAGAGAGACTCAGTGTACGGGGAAAATATTTTGAAGACTGGTAGGTTTAAAAAAACCCAATAAAGTTCATTTATATACTGAGATAATCCTAACTTCAAATACCTAACTTTAACAGGTCAATTATAATGTGTCTTTTATTCTAAATCAGCATGGGCTTTGGGTAGGGAGGAAAAAAGTTTGAGGGAGAGGATGGCATGGTCCCAATTAAAAATACGTTAATAGTTATATGGATTTAATCTAGAGACAATAGAAAAGATGTTTTAGGAGGGGAAAGTGTTTTGAATTTGTGTTACAGCAGGATGTTTCTGTGTATGCTGAGGTTTGAAAGCAGTGTGTTTACTGTGCAGCCCTCTTTAGATGAAAGATCCCAGGCTTGATGTGGCGAGGTTTGTTCTCGGGAGGGGTGTGGCTGCAGAGGACAAAGCTCTAAGCCACCCACTGGTGTGCCCCTGTGCAGTAGCTGTGACACACTTTTGACCATGAGAAGCAGATTCTGCATTCTGGTGCAGCATTCATGTGTGCATATAGCCTCACAGGAAGTTGTGTAAAATCATACTTACCTTCCTGTGGATGATGTACCGTAGTTTGTTTATTGGAGAGGTTATTAACGTCTTTGGGTAGGGAGATGGTGCCCTTAAGCTTAACATCAGAATACACACATCATTATTTTCTTAAATTATTTATTTTTATCAAATGAAAGGAATTTACGTTTCGTGCGGGTATTATTATAAGGACTTTACAAATATTAAACATACGAAGCAAATATTATTATCCCTCTATTCCAGTGAGGAAATCAAGACATAGTGAGGTTAAGTGACTTGCCTAAAACCGTACAGCTAGTAAATAGTGGAGCAGCAAACGGCACCAAAGCCATTTGACTCTCACGAATGATGTTGAATCCTCTTGCAATGATATATGCCCATCTTACTGTATTATAATCAGTGTCAAAATGTTTGGAACAGTTGGTCAGGTTTGCGGTTCTTCAGTCTATGGCCATAAGCATAGCAAACTTAACTGATGCATGTGGGGCTGGATACAGTAGTGTCAGTCTTATTAGCATCTTACTAACCTGTGCTTCTATTGGGTTGTTGGAAAAGTCATGGCGCATTTTTGCAACAAAAAACCAAAAAATCCGTCATGACTTTCAGACAACCCAATACTTCCTGGTTTGTTTGCTTATTAAATGTTTTTTAATTTTAAAGTAATACCATGCCAATTATAAAAGAAATCCCCTAATATAAAAATATGTAAAATAAATAGTGAAACTCTCTCTTCCCGCTCACTCCTTAATCCTATTCTTCCCCCAAAGATACCATTCTCAACTATTTGATGTTTAATTGTTTTAGACAAAGGCCTAAACAAAAGAACAGTATATGTACATGCAAACCTACGTACAGCGGTTGTTCATAAGATACAAATGAAAGTATGCCAAACCATTGATGTGACTTGTTGGTTTACACTTAAGTATCATTTATTTTTTCACATGATGGATGGACCATTATTTATTTTACCAGTCTCTGATCATGGACAATTGGCTATTAACAGTATTTTGCTATTATAAACAATATTGCAATAAACATCCTACTTTGGGTGTAGTTAAGAACTCAGATATTGGAGTCAGAACACCTGGGTTTGAATCCTTACTCCACCTCAGTGAATTTGAGCATGTTACTTAATCTCTCTGTGCCTTGATTTCCTTGTCTACAAAATGAGGATGATAATGACAGACCCAATCTTCTAGGGTCGTTGTGAAAATTGAGTTGATACGTAAAGCTCTTAGAACCATGTTTGGCACAAGGTTAATGTTCATTGAGCTCTGTCATTTTGTTACTGAATTTCTGTGTGTGTAATTACATATAATAGTGTATTTTTGCACATTTGTATGATTATTTCTATTGGATTTCTAAAAATAGATTTACTAAGTTGACTAAAAGCATAAACATACTATCAAGGCATTCTTCAGAAAGGCTGTATCATTTTCTACTGCCATCAATAGTGTATTTCCTAAACCATCTCTAACATATCTTTGCTTTTTGGTCAGTCTTTTCTGGTGAAAATTACATTTTACTATTTTAATTTGCATTCCCTTCACTATTAGCAGTGAGGTTGTTAAGTTGTTTGTTAATTTTATCTAATTTTCATTTGAATTTCCTTTGAATTACTTACTAATATCCTTTTGCTCAGTAGGATTTCTTTATATATTATGGATATTACATCAATATCATTGTTTTCTAACTAATTCATTGTACAGTTAATGATTAACTCTTTTTTTGTGACAAGAGGCAGATATTTTGCCCATCTGATACAATCATTTAACAATATTTTTGCCCTATAGAAATTGTAAATATTTATGTTATAAAATTTACATTGGTCTTTTGTTTGTTTTATTTAAGTTGTAATCATCTTTCAAGATCTTAAGACAAAACATACTTATTCCAGAAATTTATCCTAAAAGCACCACTTCAGGAGTTAACTCTATCCTGTTACTCCTGTATCACTTATTGTCAGTGTCACACAGTTGCCACATTAAATTTGCATATATACATTACAAGTTTCTCCAGGTAAGAGCTAACCTGCTTGAAGAAAGGGAGCGAGGTTCCTCCTCTCTTGATATCTCCCAAACATTTACAATCATTTATAATACATTTATTGGTTGAGTCTTCTTAAAGACTTTTCTTCTTCCTCTTACTTCAGTTAAAATGATGTGGATACATAACGTGCTCAGTTACGGCCCTGGTCATATCAGAAGACCTTTGGACGGTGAGAGGTCACGTCCTGCCCCACAACTCGCTTGACTGCGGTAGAAATTTTTCTGAGACCTATTTGTCCACATTCTCACTTAGTACATGGGCAGTGTGGCCATGTCACCATAGTTCCAAGACCAGAAACACATATTCATGGAGTCTTTTTTCTAATATGTATTTTTAAAATGTTCTATTGTATGTGTTTAGTGAAAACCACCTCAAAATAACTTAAAAATTGTCACTGACAATAAAAATTGGTAACTACAATATGGCCTCAGGGATAGAAAAGGCAGCCTGGGGAATATAATAATGTAAATATTTTTTAGGGGGCCAGATGGACTCAAGTCTTGTTAGGGAGGCCACTTCATAGTCGGTGTAGAGGCCTGACCACCGCACTGTATTTCTGAAGCTGTTGTTGAATAATATTGTATGTCAACTATAATTATATATACATATAGTCATGGGACGTGGAGTAGAGTGTGGGAATGGGGTCAATGGAATTGTAATAGATAAGTATGATATCAGGGGTAGGAGGACAGTAGATGGGAGAGGGGGGTTCTTTCTGTGTGAAGGGTGAAAAGGATAACTATTGCATTGTTCTGTACCCCTGAAACTAACAACAATAAAAAAAAATTGTCACTGAAATGATAAATAAATAATATCCATTAAATGACAGTGATCACATTTATTAAATCTGGTTGGTAGGCACATGGTTGCTTTTATTTTTCTGTCTACTCTGTTGTAGATTTAAATTAGTTTTCAAAAAAAAGAAAAAAAAATCAGAAAAACTAACCTCCAGATAAGAGTTTTCCTATTTCTTGGGAGACTCCTTCAAATTACAGAAGGAGTTTTTAACATGGTTGTATCTTGAGAATGAGGTTGTATTCTGTAGTCTGAGAAAATACACAGAAGAATATAGATCCCAGCAAGCTGCCATTTTTCAGCTGGAATGGTAAAATTCTGTTAGGTCGGGTAAGTGTGCCTCACAGTTAGAGTAGAAGGAGTGTGTTGATGGTGTTCGATGTGTAACTCGTTCAGCACCAGTGGTGCGGTGGACAGGAAGTTGGAATGATGCTGTTAACCTATACGTGGAAACGGTGGATGCTCTGTTATTTACATGCAGTTGCAGGTTATGTGGGTCAGCCTGTTTCTGATGCCCTTTTTTAAAGTCTTGGGCAGATCAAGCTTATCAGATCCCTTAAGTTTGGCCAACTGTAAAGCTAACATACAGAGGTCATGTGTTTCTTACCTGTAAGCTCTTATCTAGAAAAGCCTTAGAAGTTAGGCTGCAGAGCCGCCAATATAATCCTGATTATCTTTGGGAAAAGTCTGACTTTGCATAAAGCCAGAGGTCTTCTTCCGGTTCTGTAAAGGGACAACCCTGCCTGTGGCCTAATGTTTGGCCTGGCTTATCTCCTGCCAATTGGCGACAAGGAAGCTAATGGTTATTATGA